GTAGTCATGCTAAACACTTCCATAACAGTCATGTTGTGAAAGAATATAATTCCCTCCATCCTATCCTACTCTCCCATTTATTCTATTTTCTCCTTTAACCCTGTCCCTCCTCAAAATTGTTTGCTTCTGATTACCCCCTCCCCCAATGTGCCCTCCCTTCTACCATCCCCTCTTCCTTTTTCCCCTTCCCCCCTATTTTCCTGTAGGGTAAGATAGATTTCCATACCCAATTGAGTGTGTATGCTATTGCCTCCTTAAGCCAAATTGGATGAGAGTAAGATTCATTCATTCTCTCTCACCTCCCCCCTCTTCCTTTCCACTGTAAAAGCTTTTTCTTGCCTCTTTTATGTGAGATAATTTACTCCATTCTAGCTCTTTCTCTTCCTCCCACTACAATTCTCTCACTCCTTAATTTTATTTTTTACATATCATCTCTTCATATTCAATTCACCCTGTGCCCTCTGTATATATATATATATATATATATATATATATATATATGTATATGTGTATACACACACACACACACACACACACACACACACACACACACATATTCCTTCTAACTACCCTAATACTGAGAAAAGTCTCATGACTTATAAATATCATCTTTCCATGTAGGAATGTAAACAATTCAACTGTAATAAGTCTCTTATGATCTCTCTTTCCTGTTTACCTTTTCATGCTTCTCTTGAGTCTTGTATTTGAAAGTCAAATTTTCTATTCAGCTCTGGTCTTTTCATCAAGAATGCTTGAAAGTCCTCTATTTCATTGAAAATCAAATTTTCCCCCTGAAGGATTATACTCAGTTTTACTGGGTAGGTGATTCTTGGTTTTAATCCTAGCTCCTTTGACCTTAGAATATCATATTCCAAGCCCTCCCATCCCTTAATGTAGAAGCTGCTAAATCTTGTGTTATCTTGATTGTGTTTCCACAATATTTGAATTATTTCTTTCTGGCTACTTGCAATATTTTCTCCTTGACCTGGGAACTTTGGAATTTGGCTATAATAATCTTAGGAGTTTTCCTTTTGAGATATCTTTGAGGAGTTTATCGTTGGATTCTTTCAATTTCTATTTTACCCTCTGGTTCTAGAATATCAGGGCAATTTTCCTTGATAAAGTCTTGAAAGATGATATCAAGGCTCTTTTTTTGATCATAGCTTTCAGGTAGTCCAATAATTTTTAAATTATCTCTCCTGAATCTATTTTCCAGGTCAATTGTTTTTCCAATGAAATACTTCACATTGTCTTCTTTTTTTTCATTCTTCAGCTTTCCCTGACAGCCCTAAATTGTATTACTCTTTCCTTATTATGAATTATTGCCTAAACTACAAAACTAGCATTAGATTTTATCTTTTTTTGTGACTGCTGCTTATCTCATATGAGTGTTGTCTCTCCAACTAGACTATAAGCTCCTTAAAGATGGGGCCATAGTTTCAAGAGCCTGAAAAATTCTGGGCAGAAACATAGTAAATGATTATTTTCTGACTTCTCATGTAATTGAGGATATTTAAAAGAGCTTGAAAAGAATTTGTTCTCATATAAATTAAGGATATCCTCTAAAATCTTGGTTCTTTAATTTCTTTCATGTGTAAATAATTTAACAAGTTTTAGTCTAATCATAATCCTATTTATCCAACTTACAAATTAGAAAGGTCCAAATTAATATGGTTTTACTATGCAAGAAAAAAGTTAGGTGTAAAAATAATTAAAATATTTAGCAAATTGAGTCATATTTGATTTCTTAGGATGATTTAGGTAGAGTTTTAGGAAGAGTTAAGGATGTGTCAAGACCATAGCTTCAGGGACAATTAGATTACTTCTGAAAGGTGTGAAACAAAAGAAAAGTGTTTGTAATGGCTATTTTTTCAACATTATAAAATGTCACCATTTTGGTAGAAGAGAACCATAAGGCTTCAAAGGTCATCATGAGCTGAGAATCCACGATTCAAGGTGAGCAATTAGCTTAAATTTCTAACTATACTTAAAATGTATATGGTTGATGTGTTCAATTTAGTCATTTTGATAACAATGCTGTATTACCACAGCAGAGTCAATGTTGTAGTATTTTACCTGGATTATTAAAGATAATGGACTAACAAGGTTGCCTGTAACAGTCATATAATCCTGTTCAACTGTATTTGAATTTAGTACCAATGGAGTTTTCTAGTCAGTCAGCCAACAAGATTTTTTAAGGGCTTACTATGTGCCAGGCCCTGTACTAAACTCTAAGAAAAGCAAAAATGTGATCCCTGTCCTCAAAGAGCTCACATTTGAAAGAGGAATAAAAAAATGCAAAAAATGTATATAGAAGTTATAAACCATTTGAATAGGAAGTAATCTTATAGGAAAGGCACTAGCACTGGGGGCAGAGGAAAGAGGTAAGGGACAGAAAACTTCTCTTACAGAAGATGGGATTTGAGCTGACTCTTGAAGGAAGCCAAGATTTGGAGGTGAAGAAGGAGAATATTCTAGTCATGGGAGAGAGTCAGTAAAAAGGCATGGAATCAGGAGGTGAAATATCATGAAAAAGGAGAGGAAGTGGGAACACTGATTATAGATGGCTTTTTAAGAACTTTAACAATGAAAGGAAGGAGAGATATAGAACAATAGTATGGTGATCGCATCAAGTGATGGTTTTTAAAGACAGGGGAGATATGGGCATGTTTATAGGCAGCGGAGAAGTCAGCTGATAGAAAGAGATCAAAGATGAATGAGAAAGTGGGAATGACAGAAGAGGTAATCTGATGAAGAAGAATCTGATGAAATGGAATGTAGAGGGGTTTACCTTGGCAAACAGAAGGGCTACTACTTCTTCACGTGAGACAAAAGTAAAGAAGGCAATAGTAGAGGAAGACATTTAAGTGATGTGAGATGAGGAGGGGATGAGATGGAGCTCTTGGAGAACAGCCTTAATTTTTTTGATAAAGTATGAAGCTAAGTTCTCAGCTAAGGGCATGAAGGAGTATCATGGGAGAGTTATGGAGGGATAAAAAGGCTTTGTATAGAGGCTATGGTGAGTGAGATAATGAATCAGTTATGAAATATACAAGGATTGCCTTGCTGCAGTGAGGGTCCAGATGAGATTATGTAGCATTAATTTGTAGTGTGCTCAGTCAGCATGGTTTGATATTTTTCTTCAGCTTTATTCAGTAGTATGTGAATAGACGTGAAGGCACTAGATGGTGGGCATAATACAAGTGTAACAGGGCTTTACTTTGTGCATGCCCAGATCACTTATCATGGGGCACCCACATTAGTGCATAACTGCTCAAGCCACATTTCTTTATCTCTTTGCCAATGAGCTAAGTTTAGAAGTTCAGTTCTCCTGCTAATCACTGTTCTATTCTCACCTCAGGGAAATGTCTTATCCTTGAGGGATGCAGTTGGATATTAGGGAGTCAATCTGGTCTAGTATCTCTACACCACCAATCTATCCTTCAAGGATTTCTGGTTTGTTATCCAAAGAAATCCAGTCCACTGTCTCTAACCCTGCAGATGGACTCAAACAATGAACATTTTTTAGTCACAGGAAGGAAGGAGGGGGTTTTTGCTAGTCCCTCATTCCCAATTTCCAACCAATCACAATGCTGTTTACTCTGTAACTAACTGCACTATCTTCCCCACCTACCCAACTCTGTACTCTCCAAAACTAGATAAAGCCTGGTGAGCCCTACCCTTAAGTCTTTGGTAATTGAGAAAGGCCACTGACCCAATTTACTGCTAGCTTAACTAGTAAATTGATCATGCACAGACTACTGTCAATTTACCTTAATTTTTAAACATAACATCAGAGAAGCTAGGAACCAGCTTCTGGGAGAAGACATTATGTTTCCCTCTACCACATAAGTGGAAACAGACTCTTGATTGGCTATATCACCAGAACAGGATGCATCTTTAAGAACTACCATCCTGTGATAGTCTCTCTTTCCAACTACATCCAGAAAGGGTGAAGTTCCTGTCCACCTATGGACATCATGAACTGAAATGGGTGAGAGGAAAGACTACCTCCTCTTCCTCCTCACTTTTACATCCACTGGCCCCAAGAATCAAATTCAGGATTTTGTTCTGTTTGTCCCTTTTAGTTTTAGGTGCAGGTGGTAGAGAATTCCCACCAAACCCAGATTCAAGCCATGGTGACTTTGGAGGCAGGATTCCAGACAAGATGTTACAGCCAGCCCAGAATATAAGCCCTGAAAAACTAGAATGCCTGGGACTCAAGACCAAGGTTTTTTTGTTTTGTTTTGTTTTTTAACTTAGAACTTGGTTTGAACATGGCATTTAGGAACCAAGCTAAACTGTGAACCTAATCCTCTTCCTAGAAATTGAGGTAATGCAAGGTGATTATACTTCCCCACACAAACACAAGTTTTTTGGGGGAGGACATTTGTATGTTTGTTCTTATTATATGAAAGACAATCTTACTGTTAATTTATGGTTAAATGGAATTGGGATTTGGTGGACCCCTAAAATTGTGGAACATCATTGGTGTGGACTGGAGCCAATGGCAAGAGACTAGACTCTTCCAACCCCACTCAGGGAGGGAAGGGTGAAAATGTAACATACCTGGCCTTCAGTAATTGTAGGATAGTTACTATTATACAAGGTTGGGGCTTAGCAAGTCATGATTAGTGAAAGAATAAGAGGACAAGGGACTCAAGTGAAGAGGATATCCATGACAAAGTTTAGATCATTGAATTGCTTCTCCCTCTTCCCACACCATCAAATGGTTTATTCATAAACAATGAAAACTAATTTTAATAATGGGTTAATTACAAACAGAAATCCAGGGACTAACATTGTGTTTTATACATAGTAGACACTTTAAAACTTTTGTTGAATTTAACTGCTCAAAAAAGAATGACTCCTTTTAGTTTTGAATAGCTTCTGTTCTGAGTTATCCTTTTGGGAACAATCTATGCCATTGCTCCTACCCATCAGCACAAACAATTGGGAGTTAAGTATTATACAAATAAAATTTTTCAGCTTTTACTTACTTCCATTTCAGACAAATAAGGACACCATCTTCCCTACCATTCACTAGTATGGAATGGCCATCAAGTGAAAATGCCAATGATTGAATTCCTTGTCCCTGGTAAGAATGGCAGTGAATCTGAGTAAATGTTTCCTGAATGGTTAAAGAAACAGCATTAAAAAACATAAATGTTTCCATTTCACTGTATGTTTTATTAATGGAATGATATGCACATTTATTTTTCTCCTATTATCATGGACTATTCAGTCAAATACAGATCATAGTAAAAACCTATATTCTTAAGTTTGGGGGATATAGAAGCTTAAAGTTGAGTCTTTGGCATGAGTTGCTCCTAACAATTTTGTTATATTAATAGTGACTTAGAAATATTAAACAACTAACCTGCCAACAGTTCAAAAGTCTTTCATACTTTCTGTTTTTATTATTTTTACAACATAATTGTGGCATTGGAGGGGAAAGAAGTTATTATTCTCAAAGCATATGTGGAAAAAACTGAGACATGAAGAAGTTTAAGTGACTGATTTAAAGTTATACAACACTGGGGCAGCGAGGTGGCACCGTAGATAGAGCTCCAGCCTTGGAGTCAGGAGGACCTGAATTCAAATTGGGCCTCACACACATGACACTTACTAGCTGTGTAGCTGTGTGACCCTGGGCAAGTCACTTAATCCCGAATGCCTCACCAAAAAAGAAGAAAAAAATAAAGTTATACACAACATTAATAAAAGAACTAGGACTAAAACTCAGGACTCCAATCTCTCAACTCAGGACTCTCTTTATTAAAGTAAATTGATAAAAAGAATGGCAACATGATGTAATAGAAAGAATGAGGTCTTGGAATCAGAAGAATGAGGTTTATGTCCATTGCCCTCCCCTCTTCTCCTTCTCTTACTCTTCCCTCCTTTTCCTCTCCTCTTCTCTTGCCTTTTCTTGTTTTCTCTCTGTATAAAGTCTCCCTTGGTGACCCCATCTACTCCTTGGGTTCAGTAACAAACTTCTATCCAGAGGTCTTTCAAATCTTTCAAATCAGCATCATTCATCTAAGTCTTTCCAAGTTTATCTGAAATCTGCCTGCTCATCATTTCTTAGAGCACAATAATATTCCATTACATTCATATACCACATACATTCATAATGTTAAGCCATTCTCCAATTGATGGGCAACCCCTCAATTTCTAATTCTTTGCTACCACAAAAAAGCTGCTATAAATATTTTTGTACATGTGGGTCCTTTTCCTACTTTTATGATCTCTTTGGGATACAGACCTAGTTAGTGGTATTACTGGATCAAAGGGTATGCACAGTTTGGTTGCCCTCTGGGAATAGTTCCAAATTGATCTCCAGAATGGCTCGATCAGTTCACAACTCCACCAACAATGCATTAGCTTTCCAATTTTCCCACATTTTCTCCAATATTTATCATTTTCCTTTTCTGTCATATTAGCCAATCTGATAGGTGTAATGTGGTACCTTAGAGTTGTTTTAATGTGCATTTCTCTAATCAATAGTGATTTGGAGCATTTTTTTTCATATGACTATAGACAGCTTTAATTTCTTCATCTGAAAACTGCCTGTTCATATCATTTGATCATTTATCAACTGGGGAATGACTTTTATTCTTATAAGTTTGACTGAATTCTCTATGTATTTTAGAAATGAGGCCTTTATCAGAAACACTGGCTGTAAAAATTGTTTCCCAGATTTCTGCTTTCCTTCTAATCTTGGCTGCATTGATTTTGTTTGGTCAAAAACTTCTTAATTTTGCATTTCATAATGTTCTCTATCTCTTGTTTGGTCATAAATTCTTCTCTTTTCTATAGATCTGAAAGATAAATTATTCCTTGCTCTCCTAATTTACTCATGGTATCATCCTTTATGTCTAAATCATGTATCTATTTTGACCTTATCTTGGTATACAGTGTGAGGTGTTGGTCTCTGCCTAGTTTCTGACTTACTCTTTTCCAGTTTTTCCAGCAGTTTTTGTCAAATAGTGAGTTCTTATTTCAGAAGCTAGAATCTTTGGGTTTATCAAACAGTAGATTACTATAGTCATTTACTACTGTGTCTCATGTACATAGCCTATTCCACTGATCCACCATTCTATTTCTTAGCCAGCATCAAGTAGTTTTGATGATTGCTACTTTATTATATAGTTTTAGACCTGGTGTGGCTAGGCCATCTTCCTTTGCATTTTTTTTTTCATCAATTCCCTTCAGATTCTTAACCTTTTGTTCTTCCACATGAATTTTGTTATTTTTTCTAGCTATATAAAATAATGTTTGGTAGTTTGATTGGTATGGCACTGAAAGAGTAAATTAATTTAGGGAGAATTGTCATTTTTATTACATTAGCTTGGCCTACCCATGAGCAACTGATATTTTTCCAATTGTTTAGATTTGACTTTATTTGTGTGAAAAGTGTTTTGTAATTGTGTTCATGTGGGTTTGTCTTGGCAGGTAGACTACCAAATATTGTCTACAGTTATTTTAAATGGAATTTCTCTTTCTATCTCTTGTTGCTGGGATTTGTTGGTAATATGTAGAAATGATGATGATTTATATGAGTTTATTTTATATCCTGCAACTTTGTTAAGTTAATTATTTCAAATAGTTTTTTAGTTGATTCTCTAGGATTCTTTAAGTAGACCATCATATTATCTGCAAAGAGCAATAGTTTTGTTTCCTCATTGCCCCTTCTAATTCCTTCAATTTCTTTTTCTTCTTATTGCTAAAGCTAATATTTCTAGTACAATATTGAATAATAGTGGTGATAATGGGCAACCTTGTTTCACTTTATTGGGAAAGCTCCTAGATCATCCCCATTACATATAATGCTTGCTGATGGTGTTAGATAGATAGTAGTTATCATTTTAAGGAAAACTCCATTTATTCCTATGCTCTCTAGTGTTTTTAATAGAAGTGGGTGCTACATTTTGTTAAAAAGCTTTTTCTGCATCTATTGAGATAATCATATGATTTCTGCTAGTTTTGTTATTGATAAAGAAATCTAGGAAGTCTTGTATGATCTTTTTCAAATTACAGTGAGCAGAACCAGGAAAACAATTTATACATTAAAATATTGTAAAGATAAATATCTATAAAAGATTTAGGAATTCTAATTAACACAATGACTAATTATAACTATAGGGGACTGATGATTAAACATGCTACCCATTTCCAGAAGGAGAAGTGATAAACTCAATGAAACTCATTGAAGCATACAATTTTTTTTTTGACATGGCTAATATAAGAATTTGTTTTGCTTAACTATACATATTTTTAACAGGTGTTGTTTTTCATATTTCCTCAATGAGGAAGATAAGCGGGAGAGAACTAGAAAATAAAATTGAATTTTAAAAAAATTATTATGTTGCCTGTGAATAGAAAGAAATCAAGAAAATTAAAAATCCATAACAAAGTACAAGCCAAAGTTTAGGAGGTTATAAAAGCTTTATTCCCACCTCCCCTTTCTAAAATCCCTAAAGGTATTTGCTTCTTAGACTTTCTATACTGATTTCCCTCAGAGCTTATATTAAGAGCTTTATGCTGATATCAATACTTACCAAATTATTAATATCACGGATACTCAGTATTCCATCTTTGGCTGTTGATGCTAGCCACTTGCCATGAGATGATAGGCACAATATTCCAGTTCCAAAATGTCTGCTTTGCATTTTGATCTCTGGTTTGAGAACTACAACTTTACTATCCTGTAAACACAAAAGAAAATATCAAGCTATATTTAAGATAATGGAAATAATTCTTATAGCTTATAAGAAAAAACCACATAATCTTGTTGACAGTTTGATCACTGGTATATTAAAAAAAGGAAGCAGCTAGGTGTCTCAGTGGATAGAGCCCTAGGCCTGAAGTCAGGAAGAGCTGAATTTAAATTATGCTTCACACCCTTACTGGCTACGTGATCCTGGGCAAGCCACTTAACCTCTGTTTGCCTTAATCCTCTGGAGAATGAAACGGCAAACCACTCCAGTATCTTTGCCCAAAAAAAACCCCCCAAAAAAACCAAAAAAAAACCCAACAAAAACCCTGGAGAGTATTAGCATGATATGGACCATGGATCACAGAGTTGGACCTGACTGGACAACCAAATAACAACAAATTAAAAAAAAAAATACCCAACATTACGATATGAAATAAGCAGGCATACATGGTTCAATGACCTAATAAATAAGGTCTATCCTTTTTTTTCAATGTTATTTCCATCTGGGTTCTCAAAAATTTGTTTCATGCTTTAAGGTATATTTTTCAGACAAAATTATTTCGGTAAGTGTTATAAAGATGGCCCCAAACTCAGTTCCAAAGACTGATGTCTCAAAGACTTTTTATTAAAGAGATTGAAGTGCGCCATTTCAATATCCAGGAAGAAGCTCTCCCTCCACCCGCTTCCTTCTTGGTTGCTTTAAGAGAGGTAGAACTGGCACATTTCAACCTCTTTGGTTCCTGCTTTGTTGGGGATCCACTGTTCTCCCTTGGATTTCCAGCGGGGCATCGGTGGGGAGAGAGAAGAGAATTCTCTCTTCCTCCTCCCTTTCCATGTGTAGCAACATTGTCTACAAGCAAATGACAGTGGAAACATGCACTCTCCTAGACAAATCTGAGGCCCTGGCTTACTTTTCTTTCTATTTTCTTCTGAACGCAGACCAGCAACTAGCAATCCTAAGAAATGGATGTTTTCAGCCTGGGCAAAACTCAAAAGTTTAAGAATTTGAGTATTTCTAGAATCAGATGTCAGCTATTCTCTGGTATGGAGCTCTCTAAATAGCTCTACTTATCACAGGAAAAGAGCACTATGAACAGGAGGATGCCATAACAGAACAGTTGTTGAAAGCCAAGCCTTTCTCAGGCTGGTCAGGAAAGTTTTTCAGACCATGTGTGTATGAGGAGAATGTGAAATATCTATTTGACAAATTAATATTTCAGGAGAGTTTCATGAGTACAACGGGTTCTTCTTTTATATTCTTCATTTGCTTATACTCCCTTGTGGGTCATTTGTGTTTTGAACATTTTCTAGGGTAAAGAAAATAAGTAACTGTCCTAAATCTAATATCAATGTATTGTACATTCACTACCTTTTTAAAAAGAGGCTCTATAGGGTCTTGGAAAGATGCTAGACATTAGCCAAAAGCTTTGTTTAGGATATTTCTCCATACGTTTAACATGATTGCATGTGTACAACTTACACCAGATTGTTTGCTGTCTTGAGAAGGGGGAAGGGAAAGAAGGAAGGAAGAAAAATTTGGAACTCAAAATCTTATAAAAAATGAATGTTGAAAACTATCTTTACATGTAATTGGAAAAATAAAATTCTATTTAAAAAAATATTTCCCAAAGCTACTGGAGGTAGAGATAAGAAGTCAGAAAGAAACAATAAATCTGATCGCTTTCTTTTGGGTCAGGTCCCTTTAAGACGAATCTGGCATATAAGAGTTCAAAGCAGAGCACCTCCTTGTGGGTATGAGTCTTCTGGATCATGGGCCACACACCATTACAAATATACAGAAATATTTCCTCTGTTTCTTAGGGTATAGGGAAAATAAGAGAAAAAAGAGAAGAAAAAAGACAGTAAGTTATTTCCTTACTATCATTAAATGCTCTCCTATTTTTCATATGTTCATATAACAACTCTGACTTCATAGTGATAATAATGTTACTAATAAAGACTATATTATTGCCACGTAAGTTCCAAATGATACTGGCTTGAATTCAGGATCAATAAAGAATGTATTGACTAGAATTCCCTGGAACCAGCCCAGAGAATGAAACGTAATTATACAATTTTTCTATCTTAATGGTTAAGGAAAATGACATAATGTTCCATGTTTTGGCATATAAATGGCAACAGAAGAATACCTTTTCAGGAATACCATAGGTACAGATATATGGCACATGACTACAGTAGCCGTATAAATGTTCATTGTGTAAATCCAAGACAGCAGAGGTTAGAGAATGATTTATTTCATATCGCCTCCTCTTAATGATGTCATTCTTCAGCCTCCCTCTTTCATCACAACAGTTGTCAGGGTCTATAAGATTTGGGGAAAAGAATGAATCACTTTAGTTATTTATGTTTAGCCACAGTACTTAGCCTATAATAGGCACTTAACATGTTTACTGATTGACTGACTTGTACTTCAAATTTAACTTTTAAAACCCAATATGGAAAATATGTACTTTCCTATTTATGAAAAGCAAAAATATTTTAAAATGTCACTTAAGTAAAACTAGTTGGTGAATGAAATCTAAGTCTTTTAAAATCATTTACATATTTTGTTTTCTTCTCTGATGTTAACAAGTTGTGTAATACTGAGTAAAAATTACTCAAATTTTTATAGCTTAGATATGCCAATAGTTCAATAGTCACCTGGAATAAAATAATTCCTGGGTGTACAGAAAGAGTTAAAGCAAAAATATAAAACATTCTCTTAAGTTTTAGATATCTATGTTACTCTAAGTATGAATATTATCTATAAACCATGTAGACAGGTTTCTATTCATAGCTACTTTTACATCAACACTAAAGGAATTTGGGGAATTTATTTTCACGTATCTTTCCATGTTAGAAAATTTTCTTTAACAGCTAACTAGCCTACCAGTTAACAGGTAACTAGCCTCGCAGTTACTTGAATTTAACTATAGTATTTCTGAAGCTATAAAACAGAAGACATCACAAAATAACCAAATATTTTAGAAGGTGTGTCAGTCCTGCCCAATTTTCCTATCAGACTCAAAAGCAAAATAGGCTGGCAGAAGAAAGTGAATAATAATAACTTATATTTAAATAACACTACATATATTATCTCATTTTGAGACTTATGATAACATTGAAAGTAAGAATTATTATATTTATAAATGAGGACACTGAGGCTCATAATGCTTAAGCGATTTGTCTAAGGTGATATAGATATGAGTGACAGAGAATGTGAGTGCCAAGCCCAGTTCTTCCAATTCCAATTTTAGGGTGCTTTCCGTTATTCCAATCTGTATCTGCCCCAAGCCAAAACAGCACAATGCTCACTTCATTAAGCAATACCTTCCTGTTGTACCACAAAGAAGGACAATTTTCCTTCTCTCTTTTTCTTACTCTTTTCCTGAAAATATTTGCATTTCCTGAAACAAACCATAAGGTGATAACAGTAATGTGTATGTAATCCATATATGACTGAATTACTTGCTCCTTACCTGTTAAGATAGCTTCAGGCAGAGAAAATATTTCCAATCTGCTCCTTTCACTTTGTGAAGTATTGACAAGCACCATTACTTCAACTAGGTTTTTTTCAGAAATGTAGACTGTAGACATTTGTACAATGTTACCATTAATTTCTGAAAGCAGACAGAAACAGACACACAGACTGGCATCTCTGATACATTTTAAACCTTTGGTTATTCCAATTTAGGGATTTCATTACAAACCATTCCTTGATTAAATTTCTGTCTGAAATTACAGGGGCTGAATGACTCCAAAGGATCAACATAGACATTTTTATCATAATGGTAACAGATACTCTGGGCCAGTCTCTAAATTTATAACATTTTTGATATTTTACATTCTAAAGACAAGGACATTAAAGATATGAAGTAAGCTCCTTTGATCTATAATCTAAAATTATCTCAACTTCTACCACACCTCTAGTTTAATTTGGTTGGGTTTTTTTTTGCAACACATTACTTGAAATATAACAGAAAATATAAAGAATATGAGCAAAATATGTTTTAGAGAATCCATTCAAAGCCAAACATCAATGTAATTTTTTTTTCTTTTTTAAAAATTAATTTATTTTAAACTTACCTACTAAAACTTAAATACACAATAAGAAAATCAAAAAACCCCATTATAAACTTAAATACTAAAACTCAAATACAAAATAAGAAAAGAAAAAAAGCATTGCCATGTGCACAGAACATAAGAGGATTCAAAATATACAGCAATAAATTTCCATTTCAAGAAAGCCTATATAATAAATATTATACATTGTGTCCTAAGCTGTCCATCTTTTGCTTCCTTGTAGGTTTTCTTTTGTTCTGTGCTGTGCACTTTTTACTTCATTCTTTTTTCCCCCTTTCTCTTCTCTTCCCCAAAGAAGGCTACAGTTAAGTGAAGATACACACACACATACATACAATACATACAAATATACGAACATATTTATAAACACATATACACACATATGCACACATATACACATACATACATACACACATACTTAGTTATCTATAATCATACTCATATATAGATATATACATTGATATGCATCTATGTAAGACAGTACTAGTTTGTCCTCTGTTTCTCTGAGGGTGGATAACATCTTCCTTCACAGGTCCAAGACTTTCCATATTTCTCTAAGTCCACCAACTCGTTGTTTCCAATACCACAACAATATTCCAACCTCACATTTTCTAGTTATTTTAGTCTAAAACAATATGATTAATATGGCTGATATATAGTGTAGCTTCCATATTTTTCTCTTTTAATTAAATCTATTTTATCTTTAACTTTGTCTGAGATCATGATTACTACCCCTGCTATTTTATCCTAATAAATTCTGCTCCTGACCTTTTTTTTATGTTTGTGTGTATCTCCTATTTCCTATCCCTCCTGCCTCCTCTACTTTACTTCTACCCACTACCTTGCCCTCCTATTACTTAACCTACCCCTCTACCAGAGATCTCTCCCTTATCCTCTCCTCCCTCCCTATCCCCTTAGCCTTTTATTTCTTTCTGAATTTAAAAGACTTTTATGCCCTTCTAGGGTTCCAGAACTACCAGCCTCCTCCCCCATCCAGTTCCTTGGTGTCAGTTCTTCTTCCTTCACCTCATTTGTGTAAGATAATTACTCTTTTTACCTTTTCCTAGGGGGTTTACTTTTTAGTATCACATCATACTTCGCTCTACCCCATTCTTTCTTTTGAACTACCCAATAACTAACAACAATCTTAGACATACAATTTACATTTCCTTGTATAAAAAGTAAACAGTCTGTCCTTATTGAGTCCCTTGTAATTAGTCTTTGATGTTTACCTTATATTTCTCTTGGATCTTGTATGTCAAATTTCCTATTGATTTTAGGTCTTTCCTAAACAAAATCCTGAAAGTCTGGCAATTCATTAAATATCTATTTTTTTTTTCTTTCTGGATTATGCTTAACTTTGCAGCATGTGATATTTTTGGCCACAACCTCAGCTGTTTTGCTCTTCAATATAAAATGTTCCAAGACCTGGGAATTTTAGTGTAGCTGCTGCTAGGTCTTGTGTTTTTCTAAGTGTGGCTCTGCCATATTTGAATTGGTTTTTTCTTGTTGCTCATGATATTTTCTCCTTGAGCTGGGGGTTTTGGAATCTAGCTATGATATTCCTGTGGATTTTCCTCATAGGATCTCTTTCAGGTCATGATTGGTGGATTTTTTTTCTATTTCTACTTTCCCCTTTTGTTCTAACACTTCAGGACAATTTTCTTTAATTATTTCTTGTATTATGGTATCAAAATTCTTTTTTTGATCATGGCTTTCATTATTCTTATATTTTCTCTTCTTGATCTGTTTCCCAGATCAGTTGTTTTTCTTATGAGATGTTTCACTTTCTCTTCTATTTTTTCATTCTTTATATTTTGTTTTGTTATTTCTCGGTCTCTTTTAACTTTGCTGGCTTCCCCTTGCCCAAGTCTAATTTTCAAGGAACTGTTTTCCTCCTTAAGATTCTGGATCTCCTTTTTTTAGTTGGTTGACTTTCTTTTCATAATCTTCTTGCTTTTTTCTTCTTTTTTAATTTTTCCTCAATCTCTCTCATTTTATTTTTAAAATCTTTTTAAAGTTCTTCTATGAATTCTTTTTAGGCAGGTTTATCATTTGACATCACTCTTTGGGGTAGGAAAGACTTTCTTTGCTTCAATAACCTTCTCTGAAGATGAACCACAGTCTTCTCTACTCCCATAGTAACAACCTATGGTTGGGTTCTGTCTCCTTTACCTGCTCATTTTTTTAAATTTTTTTTATTTGTTTAAATTTATAGCAGTTTGTTACTATAATCATGTCTAGTCCTGGGATATGGGGGATGGTTCAAATCTTCCTTCTCTTCTCCCCTCTGACAGAAACAAAAAACTTCACCCTACTGTAAGCCATTAGAATTTATTGAGCAGGAGATTAGGGATAACATACATCTGTGCTTTAGGAAAGGCTGTCCACAGACAACAGTGGACCTTACTCTGCTTCTGCACTTAACAGGCATGTGCTAGTTCCTTCTCAACCAGGGCTGATCTCAGCAGCGCAGCAGGGCCTGGTGTCCCTTATCAGAAGAGGTTCCTTTTAATCTTCCTCCTCCGCTCAGCTGCCAGACTTCCCACACTGTCCCGGAGGTGAAAGCTCCTGTGGCTGGGGCTGAGGCTACCCCAACCTAGCAAGCCCCAGGGTTCACTGCTTCCTGTTTCAGCGTAACTAGCCTGGAGGTATTTACTCTTCACAAAGACCAAACCTTGTTACTGGGATTTTTCTTTGGGTGTTTTCCCAATAGTCTCAGGAAGACCACTGTTCTACCCAAACTCTTGTTTACTTTTAGTGCCCTATCCTCACCCTGAGGTGCTAGTTTGTCTTCTCTGTAGGGGAAGTCTGGAGAGCTTGGAATTTTCTGACCTAATGCACCATCTTTCCAGGATCCTCCAATGTAATTCTCAAAAAAAAAAAAATCTATAAAACTTATCTTTCAAACTAAGGGATGTTTGACTGTTGTGTACAACTTGACACCAAACCTCTATATTCCCAAAGTTCCTATTTACAATTTCATCCTTCAACCTAAACTGCTCTGTCCAAAATTACTAATGATTTCTTAATGGCCAAAGCTCAAGATTTTTTCTCAATCCTTCTATTTTTTTTTCACTTCTCTTCTCTGCAGCATTTGACATGATTGATCATCTTCTCTTCTTGGAAACTCTTTCCTTTCTAGTTTTTCATAGGCTGTTCTCTTCTTGTTTTCCTCCTACCTATCAAACCTCTCCTCAGTCTCCTTCCCTAGATATTCATCCTTGCCATGCCCATTAACAAAGGAGGTTGAAGGAATGTATACCACTGCTTTGTCCTTTGTCCTCTCCTCTTTCTTCTCTATACTATCTTCCTTGGTTATCTCATCAGTTCACGTGGGTTCAATTATCATCTTTTTTCAAAGGATTTCCAGACCTATGTATCTCCACCATTTCTCTTCCAATCTCATATCCCCAGCTGTCTACTGAACATTTACAAATGGGTATCTTATAAGCATCTCAAATTCAGCATGTCTAATAGTGTTCACTATCTTTACTATCCCCACCCCAAGCCCTCTTTTCCCAGTCTCCCTATCACTACCAAAGGCAGTGCTATCTTTTCAGTTTCCCAGGTTCTCAAACTCAAGTGTCATCCTCAACTCCTCAGTCTCACTCACCCTACATATCAAATCCATTGTCAAATATTGTCATTTCTTCTTCACAAAATATTTCATATAAGACCATTTCTCTTTACCTACATAGTTACCATGCTGGTTCAGGTCTTCATTGTTTCTTGTCTGGATGATTGAAATACCCTCCTAATTGGTATCCCTGCTTCAAGTCTCTCTACACTCCAGGCCATCTTCCACATAGAAGCCAATGTGGCTTTCCTAAAGCACAGATCTATGTTATCCCTAATCTGCTGCTCCATAAATTCTAATGCTTCCTATTACCTCTAGGATCCAATATAAAGTCTTCTGTTTGGCATTTAATGCTTTTCACAACCTTGTTCCTTTCTTCCTTTCTAGTCTTTTCATACTGCACTCTCACAACACACTCTAAGGTTTAATAATGCTGTGTGCTAGCTGTATCTCGAACACAACACTCTATCTCCCATGCCCATACTTTTACACTGGCTATCTATCCACCATGCCTGGAATTCTCTCCCTCCTTACTTCTGCTTCTTGACATTCCCTGGTTTCTTACAAGATGCAACTCAACAGCTACCTCCTATATTTGATCTTCTTAATTCTTCTAATCACTTTAGCCTTCTGCTCTAAGGTTACTTCCCTTCTACTCTATATGTATCTTGTATATACCTATTTATTTACATATCGGGCAAGGGCTATTTTTATGTTTTTGCCTTTCTTTCTATCCCCAGCACTTAATATCATATGTGGCTCATAGTAAATACTTATTAAGTGCTGGTTAAGTAAACTTTCCCACTATTCTTCATAGAACTGAAATACTTATTTTAACAAGGAATATGTATGCAACAAACATTCAGGCACGGATCAATTATTCTCAGAACTTTAACCTCTTTGGAAGAAAGACTAGAAAATCCAAATCAACAAATACTAGCTATATGTGAATATTACCTGTGAATCCAAGAACCTTAAATGACTGTGAAGGTTTGGCATTTAAAATGAAGATATATCCATCAGAAGTTCCAATTATCAAGTACTGACCCTTCTGGTCATAACTAAAACAAAACAAAACAAAACTGATTATACTTTTCCCCATTATAATCAAAGAACATTTGAAAGAGATTTTAGAGGTGAGCTAGGCCAATTCTTGCTCAATGCCTGAATTGCTATACAAACATTCCCTACAAATGGTCATCTAGCCCTGATTGAATGCATCTACTAGTGGGTATTTACCATTAGGTCAATTCAATCCATTTAATTGAATCATAGAATTAGGAGTGGAAAGGAATATCTAAGCCCAATCCCTTCATTATGAGATTAGAAAGTTGAGACCCAGAGAGGTTAAATTATCTGAACCAAGGTCTTTTGAATCTTCATGGTCTTTTACCCTTCATGAAACTATATTCCCAAGAGCTCTAATTGTTAGGAAGTTCTTCTGTACATTGGAATGGGTTTTATTGATGTGGCTATCCCCTACAATGACATAGATTACATCTGCCCATCTTGTCCAAAGCTTGTTCATGGCTCCACTACCAAATTTGCCAAGGGAGGACCACCCAATAGATGTAAATACATTCCTTATTTTCCCCTAATATTGAGAAGATATGAGTAGAGCACACAGGCTGTCTATCAGTTATTCCTTCTCATTACACGGGCAACCCATTTTCTTTTTTGATTACATGTTTCTTTGGTATCTTTTGCTCCAACTCTTCATCATAGTTCCTTGTGTGCTTCAGCCTGCTCACACCCATCATATGCTTGTCCATTGCTCTTTAGTGCAGCCATACAATACTGATAAAAACTGATATTAAAAGATAAGCCTTTGTTTCAGGGAGAAATTTGGGATAACTAAAAGAACCTTTCAATTTTGAAGAGGCAACCCAGCTCATTTTCCTCCTCCTTTAATTCTAGGCCCAAGTTGTTGACTATTTGAAGTGTCTATCCTTGTTATATACACTGACAGATGAGCTCTATAGGCTGTTCATCCAACAGCATTTCATAATCGAGACAAATAAGCATTCTCCATCCACTTTGTTTTTCTTATGTATCTTATGTATAAGAATATGCAGTGTTCTGGGGTTTGATACAATCAACACAGGATCATCAATAAACAAACATATTAAAGGTATATGCAGCAGCTACACCATGGTAAAACTGTCTTGGCAGATGGGCTAAACCAGGTTGAGGGTAACTGACAGGCCTCAAACCTATTGATGAGTTGAGGGATGTCTACCCCAAGCATGCGAAGACTTCCCCCAGCTGAATGGGCAGAGGACGACAGTTTGTTCTAATGGCCATGAAGGCCGCTGAAGCAGAGGCTATAGAGTGCTTAGAGCTTGGTCAGACATCAAAGCTCATCCACTGCATCCCAGGTCATCACCAGTCAACTTGACTTCTGTCTTACCACTGGATTTTGATGACTCTGGAAGAGAGAGTGAGGCTGCCAGCTTTCTGCAACTCTGACTCATTAATTCCAATTTATGTGCAAATCAAGACATCACCCATGTCATCACTGGTCTTCTTCAAAAATGAAGGAGGAGCTACAGCCACAACAATGGGAGGCATCAGAATTTACAGGGAATCCCTCATCTTAGACACTGTACTAGATCTCCTCCATGACAGAAGTAAGTAACTTTGGTGAGCGTAAGTCTGTTTTATTACATACTTACTATGTACCAGTTGCTATGCTAAGTGCTGGGGATATAGAGAAAGGCAAAAATGTAGTCCCTGCTCTCAAGGAGCTTATATTTTAGTGGATGAGATAGTATGTAAACAACTAGGTACATACAAGATTTATACAGAATAAACAGAAGATAAGTTGAAAGGGGAAGGCATTAAGAGATCAAAAATTAGAGAGAAAAATGGTAATAATTTGTGGAAGCAGTTTTCTAGAGAAGATGGGAGGACATGGAGTAAAGAAAGGACTTGGTCTTAGCAAAGAGGAGAAAAGAGAGTTCATAGTGCATGGCCTCTATTTTCTGAGTAGAATATGAGGTGAAGTACTTAGCTGATAGGGTAGGGAGAACAGGGAGGCTTGTGGAGAGAAGAAAAGATTTGAAATATCTTCTGTGGAGAATCCAATAGAGAACAAATTAGGGAGAAGTAAAAGGACTGATTTGTAGCAGAGGATTCAGCTGATATTAGATAGCATAAATTTGTAGTGTATCCAGTTAGCAGAGTTGTTTTGACTTCCTTCAGTTCAATTCAGAAATGTGAGATGAGCAGAAGAAGAAAATGTTGGCAATGCATGTGTGGTGATAATCCAGGAGGGAGTAAGGTTAGAAGATAGTGTCAAGGTGGAATGGTTAACTACAGGGTTAAGACTGGAAATGTATGGAAATTAATTCAAAGCATGAGCAAATATCATATGAAAGTACTGACAGGTAGAGGAACTGGACTCAAGAAGAGGGTTTAGGAGGGGTAAGGCACAGGGAGACATAAAATGATCTGTTATGATCAGAGGGATTTCAGAGTTTTAAAGCATAGAATGTATACAGTTTATGGCAAGGACTGCTTCACGGCTTTCTGTGTATCCATAGTACCTAGCACAGTGAATGGAACATAGTAGGAACTTGGTAAACATTTATTAATTGATCAATTAGAAGTGGAAGACTTGGGACTGACATTGAGCCCTAGAATTGATACTCCCTGTATGTGGTTGAGATAGAGTGGGTGATCAAGGGATTTGAGATTGGGGAACGGGGAGGTTAGGGTGTTTAAATGTATTTGAATGACCCCTACTTCTGTCTTTAAACATGAAGTTTTATTTTTTATGATGTTATTCAGAAAGTGGAATATATTTACAAAAAATATATTCACCAAAAAAAATATTCACCATGTACGGACATGAAGCTTTTGTAGACTATGAGAATTGGCTTCTCTCATTCCTTACTCCTTATCTGTATTTTCCAACATTTTTTGCCACTCTCACCTATTCCCACCTTTGCATCAAAGTCACTAAATATCAAAGTATGTGCTACTTTCATTCAGAGGGTCTTTAGTTTTAGGATTTGCAAAATTTCTCTCTGTCTTCACAACAATTATTGGAACATAGGCTGCAATGATTTTCATGGTGGTCTTTTTGTAGATATTTATCATGACCACTGAAATACAAGATGACCAAATATTCCATAAAATGATTTTCGCTGTTGCCTTTAGGTGTAAAATAAAACCAACTCCTTTATTTGCCTCTCCCAGAAGAACCAGTTAACCTTCCATTTATCTGTAACTTCATTTTTTTTTCCAGTTTTGTTTGTAACAAAAATGTTGAGTGTATGGAAGTGTGAGAAGGTAGGTAATCCTGCCTCTAAGAGGCTAAGAAGACTTCCTGGCATGAGATTTTTGAAGGAGTACTCTGCTCTCTGCTTAGAAGCATGTTTAGACTTTCTGTAGCTGGTTATGGTCTGTTAACCCTGTGATGAGAAGATATACTGTGGATTAGCTGCATGGGCAAAACTGGAATACATTAAAGAATCACTAGTTAGCCAGGGCAAGCTGGTTGGTGCAGGCTTTTTCTGGACTGGCTGGCATTGGAGGATGAGTAGCTGTGGGCCTCTAGTGGGGAGAAGACTGTACAACCTTTCTCCCTCACCTAGAGTTTCACGAAGTGAGAGTACATTACCTGACTGTTGCTTCTGTCACTGGTATATATATTCTTTTAAGTGAAGGAGATTAGTGTTGACTACAACCTTGTGAACTTCAAAAGGTCAGGAGATTATGTCACCAGGAGGTCTAGGAGTGAAGATGACGCCAAGATTTGCTGGAAGAACAGTGAGGAATGGAATCCCAAGTGATCTGCCCAGACTAATCCAGCTATAGCAGAGATGCAGACACATCAGTCATGTTGCAGTTGGAAGTAAACTTGTGGGTCAAAGTAGAAACTTTATTAAGTCTGAGCACATTCTTCCCAGGGACTGGGGAGGTATAGGGAAGTGTCCCCAGATACTGGGAAAAAGGTTTGTATTTCTATTACGACTATATCTTCTCATTAAATATCCCTTTGTAAAAGCTAATTGATTTCAATTCGTTAAATGAAACTGAAGTGCTAATTACTGGAAGCTAACTGTGGGGGGAGGGAACACAATAGAATAGGACTTAAACAAATGACATTACAAAGTACTCCTGGAGCATTCAGAAAAGGACAATCAAGGTGGTGAAGGCCTTGGCTTCATGTCCTGTGAGAATCAGTTGAATGATTTGGGGTCAATCAGACAGGACATGATAACCATGTTGAGATATTTGGAGGATTGTCAGGTTGAAGAAGAATTAGGTTTATTTTCTTTGTCCTCAGAGGTCTCAAACAGGAGGAATGTGGGGAGGTCGGGAAAAGGGAAATTTAGGCTTAATATAAGGAAAAACTTAAAGATGAGAGTCATCCAAAAGTGGAATGGGCTTCCTGGAAAGGTAATGAGTTCCTCCTCACTGGAGCTCTTAAGATGCTAGATGACTACTTATTGGGTATGTTGTAGTGGGTATTCCTAGTTGGCCACTGAGATCTCTTTCATCTTTCAAAGTTCTGTGATTCTGTTTCTTCTAACTTGAAAACTCTGAGATTCTATCTAGGAATCTTAACTTGCCACTTTCTTCTGAGTGGTGTACCTTACTCTCACTTACTTACTACTGATTATTAGTTAACAAGGAAAGTGGCTGAATAACCTGAATCCTCTTGCTATTTTCTCTCTTCAACTGATAGGTCAAACTGTCAACAGTAAATATATTGGCACAGAAATGTTGCTACTTAAGTTGGCTTGACTTTCTGAAAGTTTAAATGGCCTAAGCTGAAAGGAAACACAATGAATGCTTCTAACCAATATGCACAACTGTTTATGAAAACACATTTGCCTGCTTCCTTTAGACATGCCAGAAGTTATCGTTGAAATGCAACTAGTTGTAATGGTATACAAAAACAGACTTAAGAAGATAATTCCAACAGATATAAGTAAAGAAAGAACAATGAGAGGTGTTTCACAATTTTTCTTAGAGGAAAATATGTTGTTTAAATGAGTTATCAAAAGCTAGTTGAAGAGATTTGTCTGTTAATTCTCAGAGGGCTTGTGAAAATAAAAGGATATATTATTTTAAAAATTTACTCCTGGCCCCTCAGGAGTAGCCCTAGAATCCTGAGGGAAATGTAGCAAAGTCTGGGGACCAGAGACTTGCCTGTGAGAATGGGAATTGGGATAAGGATCCTCAGAGCTATATACAATATGAGCTATACACAAGAATGACATGATTCAGTTCCACTAGTGGGTACATCTATTGGTTAGTCAATAATTAAAGTTATAGAATGAATGAAAACTGCGTGGTACTTCGTAACCTCTGTGCCCTCTTTTTGTTACTCTGCCACTGTCACTGCAGAAGAGGAAAAGATTTGCAAAAGACTGAGGATCATTTTGTATTTTTCTTTTGTTTGTGGATTACCATGGCCAAAGAATTCATTATCAGATGGCCAGCTTATACGTACAGAGCTGGCTCTGTACTTATTTAGGCTGGTCCTTAGAAAATTGATTGGCCTATTGCTGGGACCTTTTTTAGAAGCCTACATGAACCTGCCAGAGCCTATGTTTACTGATAGCTCTCAAGAACCCAGAATTATCTCCACTTAGTAATATGTCAGTAGAGTAGGGCTTTGTAGAGTCATCTGAATTCTAATTTATTTTATCTTCTACTTGTTAGTTTTAGTTCTTTGTCTTCTGAGACAATAGAGACCCCACCTCCTTTTCCATAGGAGTGGAACTCAAAACAGACTCTGAAATAATCTTGAACAAATACACAAGTTAAAAGATGGGGAAATAAGTTTTGAGTATTGGCCTCTTCACGATAATGATTTTTAATGTTTCTTCCTTAAAAGATATAAGGAGGATGGAGGAACTTGTCTTTGCATACTTTTGGGGTGTTATACCAACATGTTTTTTGAGATGATGGAAAAATTGCCATTACTTTTCCTTACTTCTTTCACAATCATATTTCCCTGAATGAAGGGAGAGAGAGGACTATTTACTAAATTACTAATTTCAGAAAAAAATTGGTTTCAGGAAGCAAACCTCACCAGAAATAGATCCAGTCAGAAACGATGGAATAACCTTTCCAGAGATGCCTTTTTAACTCAAACTTCTCCATGGAAAAAAACATCATGGTGATAATGATGATGATGATGATAGTGCTAGTACATGATAGATGATAGTGCATTTTTTTAGCACTTTAATAATAATTCAAATTTAAACATGCTTTGAGTTTGCAAAGTACTTTTCTCACAAATGAGTAAGATAGTTGTTGCTATTCTTGAGTTATTTCAGTCATGTCCGACTCTTTGTCAGAAGACTCCATTTTGAGGTTTTCTTAGCAAAAGTACTGAAGTGGTTTGCCATTTATAATATCTCCACATAATATCATGAGGAAACTGATGCTCTTAGATGCTGACTCGCCAATGGTCACAGAGCCAGGAATTTTTCTGAGGTAGTATTTGAAACCATATCTCTTGAACTCAAGTCTAGCATATTATCCATTAGGCCTGAAACTGAGACTCAGAGTAGATAAATGACTTTTCCATGGTCATACAAATCCAGCATTCTTTTCTCTCAAGATAATGTATGTACTATCATGCTTAAGAGTCAAAGCAATCCTGCAAAGGGTTGGGGAAGGACAGGGGAATCAAATCACCTGATAATGTTTTGTAAACAAAGTCTGACACAGATGAAATCACTCTTTGGCTGGGACAGAATGAGACTAAACAAGGATGTTTTGCTCTAGAGGCCTAGAGAAAATGATGGACATGAATCCAACCTGGTACACATTTCTGAATTTGTACATTCTTTCTGTTTTTAAATTAAATAGCTCTGCTTAATGCCATTACGGCTGAGATATAGTAGAAGATGCTAGAAGCCTTAGGAATCTCTGGTGGCAGGATTTGGGGCAAGAAGATACTGTAACCCTATTCTTGAGCTCAGAAGCAAGGGCTTATCTTAACCAGAACTCAAGTATAGGCATTCAGCAGATTGAGGCAGTGCCTTGCTACAGATAGAAGAAGTACCTTGCTCTAAGTAAGAGACCGTATCCTTTACAATGACTGAAACTGATTACCTGTGAATTTAATAGATACCTTACAAATCATACACATCAGTAATACAGGAGATTGATTATCTCTTCAAATAATGATTTCTTTGCCTAGTCAAGAGGGTGATACAAAAGGAGGTGTAGGTAAGATGGAGTAAGAGGAAATAAAAGAAACCTAGCTCTCCTCTACAAAGTTATTGAAAACTGTTGGGAAAAATGGAAAACAGTCTGGAAGAAACTAGGTATAGACCAACAACTTATACTATATACCATGATAAGTTCCAACTGGGTAAATGATTTAGACATAAAAGGTGACATTATTAAATAAAGGCATGGAAAAAATTATGTGTCAGACTTTATAAACAAACAAGAGATAAGTTAATGGGAAGCAAAATGAATAATTTTTATTACATAAAATTTAAAAGATTTGAACAATCAAAACCAATGTAAAACTAGAAGAGAAGCAGGAATTGGGAAGAAAAATCCTCGCAGCAAATTATAAGATTATAAGAACTCAGTCAAATTTATAAGAATAAGAGCCATTCCTCAATTGATAAATGGTCAAAGGATATGAATAAACAGTTTTCAGAGGAAGAAATCTAAGTTATCAGTAGTCATATAAAAATGCTCTAAATCAATAATAGAAATACAAATTAAAACAATTCCGAATTACCTCCTCACATCCATTATATTGGCAAAAATGACAACAACAACAAAAAAGAAAATAACAAATTTTGGAGGGTCTATGGGAAAAGAGGTACTTTAACGCACTATTGGTGGAGCTATGAACTGGTCCAACCATTCTGGAAAACATTTTGTAACTATGCCCAAAATGCTATTAAGGAATACATACCCTTTGACCTAGCAATACCATTACTAGGTCTCTACTCAAAGATATTAAAAAAAAAAAGGGAAAAAACCCCACACATACAAAAATATTTACAGCAAGCAGCTCTTTTTTTTTTTTTAGTAGCAAAGAATTGGAAACTAAGGGGGTGTCCATCAATTGAGGAATAGCTGAACAAGTTACAGTATATGAAGGTAATGGAATGCTATTGTGCTGTAAGAAATTATGAAGGTAGGGGAAGCTAGGTGGTGCAGTAGATAGAGCACCGGCCCTGGAGTCAGGAGGACCTAAGTTCAAATCCGGGCTCAGACATGTAACATTTACTAGCTGTGTGGCCCTGGGCAAGTCACTTAACCCCCACTGCCCAACAAAAAACAAAACAAAAAAAAAAAGAAAAAAAAAGAAATTATGAAGGTGCCAGTTTCAGAAAAACTTAGTAATATGAGTATAAAGTAATGCAAAGTGAAGTGACAGAATCAGGAGAACAACTTATACAATAACCAAAATATCAAAAAGATAAACAACTCTGAAAAATTTAGGAACTCTGATCAACACACTAACCAACCACAAATCCAAAGGACGAATAATGAAACATGCTATCCACTCCAGAAAGCTCGTAGACTAAGACTACACATTGAAACATTTTTTTTCCGAATAATGAAACATGCTATCCACTCCAGAAAGCTCGTAGACTAAGACTACACATTGAAACATTTTTTTTCTTTTTTTTTTAAAACATGGCTAACGTAGAAAATTGTTTTACTTGACTATAAATATTTGTAACAGGTTTTGTTTTTCTTGCCTTCTCACTCTGGAGGGAGAGGGGGAAAGGTGTGAGGGCAAGAATTCAGAACTAAAAACAAAATAAAACTGAGTTACAAAAGAGTTGATTCAATTAAAATTATACAATAATAGCCTACAGTGAATATTTTAATCACAGAAAATGACATGAGTGAAATGCCACATGCCACATCGTGGTGCCCTGTAATCAATATCTGATAATATCACAAAAGAAAAAAAATTAAGATATTTTGAAATTTCTCAAAATTTAATGTTAAAAAAGAGTAAAATGTTAATGTTAGAATATTTCATTTAATGTTATGTTAATGTTCATTTAATGTTTAATGTTAATGTTAAAATGTTTCATTAATCAAAGTAAAAATTATGACAACACACTGAAACATATGATATACCACACTGAGAAGAAACCTATTATGTCCCTTTAACATTCAGCTAGAGTTAGTAACTATGGAGGCCAAGAGTTACTATCTCCATGCCATCACCTCAAAACCGCTGATTCATGTTATTCCCAGCAAACATATCATACAAGGTATCACAAGTTGCACTCATTTCCAGTTATACTCACTGCACATGCTGTATTGAAGATCGGGTCAGGAAAACATTATGAACAACTTGAGGTAATTCAGCATCAGTAACGTCAAGGAACTGGATATATCCTGCACTGGTTCCCAGAGCAACTGAAAGCGAGGAGGGGCAGCAAGCCATATCATTTACCTAGTTAAAATGAACCCCCAAAGTTTTAGCTGTAGCATAAAGACTCACATGAGAACTCTACTCTGGCTTTGCAAAGGCTGAATGGGCAAATAGGTGGCTCTGGGTTGCAATATAAACCCTAAATACATGTAAAAAAAAAAAAGAAGGTATCAATACTTATACTGCTCATCCCATAGGGTTGTTGTGAGGATTCCATGAAGAAATATTTGTTAAAGTGCTTTGTAAACATTAAAGCACTATGTAAATATCATCTATTACTACTACCATTATTATTCTGGAAATGTGAATGCCTAAGGATTCAAAGAAATGTGTGACATGTATTGAAAAAATTCCTTTGTCAAAAACGTGGGAATTATGAACTTTATCAAGAGATTTTCTTAAAAATAAATTATAATCACATGATAATTTTAATTATAATCTGATACATAAAAGTAATTTGATCAATAATAATACATAAAATAATTATTTAAAAATCTAAGACTAATTTTAACCTATTTAAAATTCTAGGTCAGAGGTACCAAACACATAATCCATAAACTACATGTAGCCTACAATACTCTAGAATGCAGCTGGAACCAGATTAAAATATAACTAGGAAATAATTAACAAAATAAATAAAAATACAAAAAAGTAGATAATATTAAAATGTGGTTTTCTAAGTCTTTCTAAGCCCACAGGGATCCTTATTGACACCCATTTCTTTTTTAATTAACCCCAACTGTTCTAGATCATTGTGAGGGACTATTAGAGAAGAGATCAGTAATCACAAATGAAGTCCATCTCTCCTTCATACACATTTTCATCTTTCTAACATCTCCAGCTCTCTACTCCCTAAAGTATGAGAAATAAAAGACACGTGGCTTCTACAAACACTCTGATGTCTCTAGCTCTCTTGGTCTATGAAAGGATAAATCTCTTCCTTCCTTAGCTCTGTCAAGGCAAAGACAAAATTGAAGATTAGCAACAGGTCTCTATAAACTGCCATAGTTAGGATAGGGTACGAGTCTCTTCCTCATTAAACTCATTTGTTAATATCCTGAGTAATTACTTTTTAAAAATTTACTCCTTGTTGACCTATTAAAGACTTTTTTTAAAGTCACCCTTATCTCAGCTGAAATAAGAAATGAGAATTTTCCTCACCAAGGCCAAGGAAACTAGAGAGCTCAGAATGCTGAGTCATACTGAAGTCATATGAAATTACATATAATGAAACAAAGCTGGGAGAGAAATTGGGATTCATCTGTGATTGCTTACCTCTTCCTTCCTGGAGTGCTTCCCTCCTAGACATATTTAAAAGAATCAGGTTTAAAAGAATTAGAAATATAGAGAGGACACATATACTGGAATAATGACAAAGACATCATGGATTAGGAGACTTGTGATAGTTGTTTTACTAGACCATTGAAGTCATGCATAGCAGATTTACTGGAAATAAAAAGAGTCACTCTTATGTGAGGCTTATAGAATCAATTTTATTACTTCATAATTACATCATGTGATTGCAGTTGCCTTACATAAGGGACCTTAAGAGTTCATCTAGACCCAGAGTTCGTGAACTTGTTTTTAAAAAACATTTGTATTTCAATATAATTCATTTTATTTGTAATCTTACATGTTTTAAATGAAATTAAATTAAAAACATTACTTTGAGAAGGGGTCCATAGGCTTCCCCCAGATTACCAAAGGGGTCCATGATACACAAAATATTAAAAACTCCTGATCTAGTCCAATCCTCTCATTTTATATATGAGGAAACCAAGGACCTGAGCCACACACAAAGATGGTCATATCCTTGATCTTGCCCACAAATGTTCCATGTTCTTTGTTTATGAACTATGAAATTCCTTTATTTGATCATAGTCTTTTATCATCCCACCTTTCCTTATGCCTTACTATTTCTAACACTGTTTTTTGTTCTCATTGTGAGTTTTATTCCTTCTATCTCTCAGATCTTTCCCAGGCCATCATCCATGCACTGGTTACACTCTCCTTCCTTTCCTACCTCAACTTCTTGGAGAATCAATTCTACTCTACACTATCCTCTACTTTCAAACCCCTTGCCCCCTTGTTTTATTGTTAATCAAGACTTACCAAAGCCTAACCCTAGATTAAGGAAGGTTTAACCCTCGTCAGGAAGATCTGAGTTCAAATATGGCCTCAGACACTTCATAACTGTGTGACCCTAGGCAAGTCACTTAACCTCTGTTTGCCTTAATCCACAGGAGAAAGAAATGGCAAAACCACTCCATTATCTTTGCCAAGAAAACTCCACGGACAGCAATGGCAGACGTGACTGAATAACTGAACAACAAAAACCCTAGATTACTCCCACTACCTTTCTTTTCTCCTATTCATATGCTTGTGAACTGAGCTAGAGGAAATCATGAAACCATGCTGATTGGGTCCAGTATATTCTACTTTCAATTAGGTCCTCACTGTAGGAAGGCAACCATTCTTTTCCGCACTAATTGATTCACTAGCCCATTCTCCACAGCAGCTGTTCCAAACCTTTATATTTCTCAACTCTCTAACACATCCCTTCCCCCAACCCTCAGCTGAGAACATCACCTCATACTTCATTTAAAAAAAACTAGCCTAATAACAAAATTCATTTAGAAAAACAAAAGATCTAGAATATCAAGGAAAATGATGAAAAAAAGTAGAGATGAAGGGGGTAAAGTACTTCTAGACCTCAAATTATATTATAAAGAAGCAGTTATCAAAACTATCCAGGGAGAATCAGAAACACGGAACTCAACAATTCACTGTTCAATAGAGCAAAAAACAAAAATAACTGAGGAAAGAATTCCCTATCTAATAAAAACTTCTGAGAAAACTGAAAAGCAGTCTAGCAAAAATTAGGCTTAGATCAACATCTTTTACCACATTCCACAATACATTCATTCTAAATGGATACGCAGATAGAGTTCTGGGCCTGGAGTCAGGAACACCTGAGTTCAAATCGGGCCCAGTCACTTACTATCTGTGTCACCCTGGGCAAATCACTTAACTTCTGTTTGCCTTAATCCACTAGAGAATGAAATGCCAAACTACTCCAGTACTGTGGACAAGAAAACCCCATGGACAGCATGGTACACAGTATCACAAAGAGTTGAATATGACTGAAAGACTGAACAACATATTACCTCTTCAAGAACATAGGTCTTTAGCTACCATGACTTGTATAATATTCCAATTGTTTCATATGGGCATATCATTTCTTCAAATAGATAAAAATAAACTAGAAGGCAAGTGTTATCTTCTGTTTCTTTTGTCTCTTCAGTAAGCAACTAGGAAAATACACACACAATAGTTGCTTAATAGATAGACATCTATTGAATAAATTAGTATTTAAAAATTATTTTCTGGGGCAGCTAGGTGGCACAGTGGAGAGAGCACCAGCCCAGAAGTCAGGAGGACCTGAGTTCAAATCTGGCCTCAGACCAAACACTTGACACTTACTAGCTGTGTGACCCTGGGTAAGCCACTTAACCCCAATTGCCTAAAAATTAAAAAAAAAAGTTATTTTGTTAGGTTAACCCAGGTTGAGTCTTTTCCCATATGGAATGATAAAATAAATTATTCAAAAACTTTTTGAATAATCAGTTCAAATGATCATTCTATTATGTGTTAGGATATTGCAAAGATAGATGATGATATCCTGCTTATTGTTATGCCCTCTTAATCCTTCAACTATAACCAGATATTGTGCAAAGTACTAAGCCAAACTTAGGGATCACCAGGTCATGAAGCACCCAAAAGTGGCACTATCCAAGGCACAATAAAAAAAAATGTCACCATTGTTGCATTGATTCTTCTAACTAGCAGGTAGCTGAATTCTTAAAAAAGAGAATGTGGATTGCACTGCATAAGGAACCTAGTCTACTATTAATCTCTTCTAGGATGCACAGGTACAATTTAAGTAGTACAAAAAATACTGAATATTGAATACAAAAATCGCTCTTCTATATTGCTTCTGTTTCCTCCATGCCCAAAAGAAAGGAAGCAGCATGGTAAAGTAGACAGGGTACTCAATCAGGATTCAGACCTGAATTCTAGCTCCATCTCTGCTTCTAACTCTCTATGGGATACTGGACAAGTGACTTCCCTTCTCTTGCATGCTGTACAATGAAGGGATTGGACTCATGATCTATGAAGTTCTTTCAAAATCTAACATTCTTTGATTCTAAATAGAAACAACCAAATATCAAAACTGAGTCACAGTTAAATAGATCATAGAGATTTCCTGTCTTTTACAAGTTTGGGTAAATAATTTATAATTTTAGTCCTTTTATTATGACTTGACCCCCTTAAACTTCATTCTCTAGCTTTTTAATGCCCTGTAATCCTCCGACTTATATGTAAGGTTTAGTGTCACAGTCTACTTTTTGAATTGAAATCAGAATCTTATAAAGGAATGAGACAGCATCATCTCTAATTACTGTCAGATTTTCATAATACCTAGAACTGTGCCATGTATCCAACGGACATGAACAAAATATTAATAATAACAAGAAATACATATAAATCATTCTTTCATTTCTTCCTGATCTTTCTATAATTTGATATTATGCTTAATGAAATTTCATCTTTGAAACACCAGTAATACAGTATTATGTCTTGGGTAAAATACAAGCAATGTTTTGTGTGATATTCAATTGTATGACTTTAGAGTGCGCTTACATACACCAAAGTTATTGCAGAATGGCAAAAGATAAAATATATACAAACTGATAAACAAGGACATTTCCTGAGAAAATAAGATCATGTGAAAATGAAGAGACAAACTTGTATTGTGTCCAACATGAAAATTACCTACCCCTTAAGTATACATACCTCGGTCCTAAGGTGTAATTTGCTGACATGAGATCCATTCTCTAACAACCAAATACAGATTTCTCCTAAAATGGTTACTGACTTTAACATACAAGCAATAAAAAAAAAAAGCATAAGCATAGAAACTGTTTTCTATGGAAAGTGAACTTTTTCCATATTCTGTTATAGCTTGAAAATGGGCCATGAGTATCATTTATACAAATCAAGGACAATTAAATCAAGATGAAAATTTCAACACCAACACTTGTAATTTAAAGATGCATTGGACAATATCTTTACTACACTTTTAAAAAGCTTATGATAATTAAATACATTAAATATATAATATTTTAAGCTAGAAATTGTGTAATAAGATAATGAAAGGAATTTTTCCCAGGGAACATGTGTGAATTTTTTTTAAACCCTCCCAAAGTTCTTTTTAAAAATATATCAAAATTTGCTCCCATATTTTTATTCTTTCATAGAATTAGCACTTAAGTAAAAATTCCATAGAATTTGAGACCTGACACCTCTTTTAGACAAATATGAAGAAAAAAGGCTGAGAAGTGAATATGTGACTAGCAAAGTGATAAGATCAGTTATCTAGCACCTTATTGTTAAGCTCTTGAATAGAATTTTATTGGTTTGGACAGTCCTTGAAAACAGACCAGGTTCTTCCATAAGAGATTCTGGATATCAAACATTTCCTTCTGATTACGTGAAATTCAAAACTAATTAAATTTGTCATTGATTTTGAGATAGAAGGAATCTTAGAATTTGTCTAGTCTAACCCTAACCTCCCCTCACCTCATTTTACAAAGATGAGAAACCTGAGGCACAGGAGAAATGAAGTAATTTGCTAAAAATCACACAGCTAGCAAGAGGCAGAATTCAGATCTAGTTTCAAGTCAGTGCTGTTTCCTCTACACCACAATTGATGAGCTTTTTGGAAGAGCAAGTGAATAGTGAAACAAATTTTTTTAGCTGATCACAAGTATAGCATCACAGCCACTGAAGGAAATGATCCCCTGGCTACAATATACCTGGTGGTTTGGTCCAAAGAGATTGGAACAATATGTCAATGAGGGTGTTTTCTTGCTTTTCCTGTGATACAACATATTTCAACAACTTCACTTAAAATTTTTTAAACCTCAGATATAAATGTATCATTTGGACTAGAGATAAATAAACCATGTAAGTTTGCTCAATATTTAACTATTGCAAATAATGTACTGAAATGCCTCTTTGGAAAGCTAGCATAGGGATGTTCTCTTAAGATTTCTTGCTTGCTTTTTTATTGTCAGGAATGAAATAACTTCAATGGTCTTAACATTGTGATAATATCAATTCACACTTGTTGAAGAAGGTTATGAACTAATAATAAATTTAACTTCCAACCAAAATCTTCAAGATCTTATTCCTTGTCACATACTTGCAAACATTTAGTTCAGAGACAGTTTCCAATACTGATACATTAGTCAAATTTTTTTATATTGAAGTGTTTACATTTTAAATATTTCAACTCTACTACATCCTGTGACAGATATAGGAAAATTCCTCACCATGCAGTATTTGTTTCCAGGTGTGATAAAGTCAATTGCCTGTATATTGCCACTGTATGCATCCAAGATTGTTTTAACTTTTGGTTCTTCACCGAAAGTATAGGTGTAAACTGATCCCTGTAGAGCATATTTTAAAAATCATTTGAAAATAAAATATTTGCTATAACTTCTTAAAGAAAACATAACATTTGATTTTCTTTTTTAAATTTTGAAATAAATCTGAAAAGAGGAAGAGGTAATGTGACAAAGTGGTAAGCCCATGACTTCTTTTACAGATTATAAATACAGATTTTTTTTTTGTGAGGCAACTGGGGTTGGGTGACTTGCCCAGAATCACATAGCTAAGTGAGTGTTATGTGTCTGAGGCCAGATTTGAACTCAGGTCCTCCTGACTGTAGGGCTGGTGCTCTATCCACTGTGCCACCTAGCTGCTCCATAAATTCAGATCTTAAAGGGATCAACTCACCTTTCAAAGAGCAAAATCTGAAACTGAGGCATAGAAATTTCTATTTTCCTGAAAGGTCAAGTCACCAGATTTAACCAGGAATTTCCTACTATTTTTAAAGATAATAATAGAAGTAGTAGCTAACATTTATGTAGAATTTTAAGATTTGCATGGTGATTCACATATATTATGTAATTTGATTCACAACTATGTTGTGATTTGATTCACAAATATCCCCTTTTTACAGATGAAGAACCTTGCTAATAAACGTCAAAGGTGGAACTTAAACCTAGGTCTTCTGACTCTAAACTCAATCCTTTTTCTCATACACCACATTGTCTTTCAAATATATAGATATAGATACATACATATGTGTATGTGTGTATATATATACATATACATGTGTATATACATACATGTGTATACATACACATATATATATTGTTGTTCAGTCATTTCTAACTCTTCATGATTCTATTTGGGGTTTTCTTGGCAGAGATACTGGAGTGGTTTTCTATTTCCTTCTCCAGCTCATTTTATAAATGAGGAACTGAGGCAAATAGGGTTAAGTGATTTTCCCAAGGTCACACAGCTAGTAAGTATCTAAGGCCAGATTTGAACTCAGGTATTCATGACTCCAGGCCCAGTGCTCAATCCACTGTGCTGCCTAGCTGCCCCCTAAATACACACACACACACACACACACACACACACACACACACACACACATTAATCTGTGTATATGTTATTTTCCCCCAACAGAACAGAAGCTCATTTAGGGCAGGGACTATTCTGTTGTTGTCTTTGTACTACGAGCAACTCACACAGTGCCTGGCACATGGTAGATATATAATACAAGCTTGAAGAATCAATCAAAAAAACAAAAACAAAGAATTAATCAATGCTTATCCCTCTGTGTGACTGAGGTAGAGTGAAGTGAAGCTGTACGTCATGGGATTTGAGGAGGATGATAAACTGGTAGGTGTTTGTGGAGACATTGACATAATGATTGAAGTCTCCAAAAAGCAAAGAAATTTGAGCATAGAGGAAGACTGTAACATATGTGCTGAATTTCTTGTAAGAGGAGGAAGAAAGAACTATGGGTCTAATACATAACTAAAGTAGCTAAATGGCATAGTAGATAGAGCACTGGGCCTGGAGCCAGGAAGACCTTAATTCAAATACACTTAATAGTTACGTGACTCTGGGCAAATCACAACCTCTGTTTGCCTATTTCCTCAACTGTAAAATGGGGATAATAATAGCATCTAAAACATAGGGTTGTTGTGAAGATCAAATGAAATAATATTTTCAAAGCATTTAACACAATGCCTAGCACATAGTAGGTACTTAATAAATGCTTATTTCCTTTCTTCCTTCTTCAAGGATTCATTGATGAAACAAAGTCCCTAAGGGGATAGGTTATGCGGAGAAAAGGAAGGATTATCTGTGACAAAGAAAAGGGCTATCTTGTTCTCTCAGATCAGAGCAAAGAAGAAAAGGATTGGTGAAGGAACAAAGAAATATAGAACAGGAAATTCAGGTGGGTAGCATCAGTTGTCTCTGCAGAGTTGAAGTACCTTCCACTTTCGAGGGATGCCAAGCATAGCTGTGCTGACCAGATACGTCAAGGGTGGGGCTGCCGCTACAAGGGAGAAGGAGCTAGCACAAATCTGGTGAGTGCAGTAGCAGAGGGGCGCGGACCCTGCTGCTTGTGGGCCCTTGCAGGAAAGCAAAGACCCTGGTTTCAGTTTCAGGGCAGACAGGACAGCTGTAGTTTATAGCCACCAGAGGGACCACAGAGAGTAAAATCATTTGCAGGACATTGTGACCCAGGGCTCTAGCTGTGGCTTAGGAATGGAGAGGAAAACCCAAGGCTGAGCCCTGGGACTGACCTCAGAAAATAACAGTAAGAAGGACCTGAGGCTTGGAGTACCATTCCCTATACCTTGAGACTAGAACTTGATCACACTAACAGCTGCTAAAAATAAAATAAAACAAAATAATAAGTAAAAATGAGTAAACAAAGGAGAAATAACCCAACCACAGATAGCTACTATGATAGAGAAGATATGGGTTCATATTCAGAGGAAGATAATGGAGATAATAAAGCAACTTCTTTTTTCAGTGAGAAACATCAAATGATCCCGAGCACAAAAAGATTTCTTAGGAGAACTTAAAAAGGACCTTAAAATCAAATAACAGAGATCGAGGAAAAATTAGGAAAAAAAAGGGTAATACAACAAAATCATGAAAAGAAAGTCAACTGACTTGAAATAGAGAATCAAAAACTTAAGGAAGAAAATAATTCCTTGAAAACTAGAACTGGGCAAAGGGAAACTAATGATGTTCTAAGAACACAAAGAAATAATGAAACAAAATCAAGAGAATGAAAAAATAGAAGAGAATATGAAACATCTCATCAGAAAAACAACTGATTTGGAGAACAGATTGGGAAGAAATAATATGTCAGTCAAGCTGCTTGAAAATTATGATTAAAAAACATCTTGATACAATATTACAAGAAATTATTAAGGAAAATTGCCCTGAAGTTCTAGAATAAGGCAAAGCAGAAATATAAAAAATGCACTGATCACCACCTGAAAGAGGTCCCAGGAGGAAAACTTACAAGAACATCATAGCTAAGTTTCAAAGCTCTCAAGTTAAGGAGAAAATATTGGAAGCAATAAGAAAAAAACAATAGAAATATAGTGGAGCTACAATAAGGATTACAAAAGACCTAGCAGCTACTACATTGAAGGACCGTAGGTCTTGGAATACTATATTTCAAAGAGCAAAAGAACCAGGGTTATGAACATGGGGTAACTTACCCAGTAGAGTTAAGCATAATCCTGAATTCAAAAAAAATTGATATTTAATAAATTGAAAGACTTTCAGATATTTGTGACAAAAGCAGCAGAACTTACAGGAAAACTCAGTATATAACATTCAGGAGAAATGTAAGAGAAACATTAAGGACCAATTATAAGGGACTCAATCAGGTCAAATTGTTTACTTCTTATATATAAAAATATTATCAGTCCTTTTATGACTGTCATTTTTATTTGAATAGTTTGAAAGACTTGGGTTGAGCTGAGTATGATGGAGTGATTCTAAAAAAAAATTAAACTGTTTAGGGAGAGATAAAAAGGAGCAATTATCCTACACAAATGAGGTAAAAAAGGAAAAATTGATACAGAAGAAACTAGTAGAGGGGATGGCAGGTAGTACAGAAACCTTACTTTTATCAGGAGTGGGTTAAAGAGGGAACAACATATATATCCAGAAGAGGATAAAAGTCTTCTAAGTGCAGAAAGAAACAAGAGGGCAAGGGGATAGGGTGGGAGGAGAGGATAAAGAAGGGGTGGATAGGTTAAGGAATAGGAAGGCAAGGTAGCAGGTAGAAGTAAAGCAGAGGAATGAAGAAGGATAGGAATAGGGTGAAAATAGAATAGTGAGGAAAAATAGGAAGGAAGAAAATATACAACAAGTAATTATAGCTTAGAATGTCAATGGGATAAATTTACCCATAAAATGGAAACTGATAGCAGATTAAAAATCTGAATTCAACAATATGTTGCTTTCAGGAAATGATACAAAAATGATAGATATACACAAATATAAAAAATGGGCCAGGAGTAGAATTTATTATGTAAAAAAAGCAGGGGTAGTAATTATGATCTCAGACAAAATTGAAGCTAAAATAGATTTAATCAAAACAGAAAAAATAGGGAAACTACATCATGTGTCAGTCATATTATTCAATACTGCTTTAGACCATTAAAATAACTAGATAGTATAAAATACCTGAGAGTATACCTGCCAAAACAGACTCAGGTACTATATAAATATAAATATAAAATACTTTTTATATAAATAAAGTAAGATCTAAACAGATGAAGTAATATTTATTGTTCATGGGTAGGTAAAGCCAATATAATAAAAAAAAGACAATTTTACCTAATTTATTTATGTAATGCCATACTAATTAAATTACTAAAAAATTATCTTACTGAGTTAGAAAAAATAATAACAAAGTTCATTTGGAAGAACAAAATGTCAGAAACTTTAAAGAAACCAGGGGAAAAAAGGTGTAAAGGAAGCAGATTCAGTAGTATCAGACCTTAAACTATATTATAAGGTGAGAGCATTATTGAAGTGTAAAATTTTAATTTTGATTATTTTAAATTAAAATTTGCTTGTATAAATAAAACCTATGCAGTCAAGAATAGAAGGAATGCAGAAAATTGGGGGAAAAAACTTTCATAGACAATCTCTCAGATAGAATGTGCTGGAACATTGCTCTGGTGTAGGAAATAATGAGATGGTTGATTTAGAAAAATGTGGAAAAATTTGGACTTATCAAGCAAGATGCTATCTACCTTCAGAGAAACAGATGACAAGTGGAAACAAGCCTAGTATGGTCTTACATATATATGTATGAGTACATGTACATATGTATATGCATGTGTGTATACACACACATATATATAGCTATAGATATCTACATATGTGTATCTACATGTGTATGTATCTACATATATATGTGTGTGTACAGACATGCACAACCACATGCTTAATTGTAGCCTTCTTTGGGGAGGAGGAAGGGGAAAAAACAAAGTAAAAAGTACATAGCAGAGAACAAAAGAAAAACTACAAGGAAGCAAAGAAAAACTGGACAGTTTTGAAAACATGTAGTATTTATTATATAGGTTTTTTTGAAAAGCAAATTTATTGTTTTATATTGAGTCCTCCTTTATATTCTGCTGGGTACATGGCAATTTTTTTCTTTCTTTTCTTATTTTGTATTTTAGTTTAAAATAAGTATAAAAAACTTTTAAAAAATTATACATATGAAATCATGCAAAACATACATGACTTCCTCCAATAGCACTCAGACCCTTGTCCAAAGAGGGTGGATGTTAAGTGTGACCCAGTGTTAGAATTAGCAAAGAAGAAACAGTGAAAGGTCAAGTGGCCAAGGGATTCGTGGATGGAGTACAATGCATTTTTGAAATGGATGACTATGGAGTCAAGTCTATACAGGGAAGGAAACAAAGTCAAAACAAGGGAGATAGCCTGGGAGAAGAGCCCTTTACGATCATACCTTTTGTATACTTTGTTAAAGTCACCTTACAATGACGAAACATCACAGAATCACAGAATTTGAGAAATGAAAGGAATATCAATGATATACCCAACAAGTAGTCATCAAGTTTCTACTTGCAGACTTCCAAAGAGATGGAATGAATTGCTTATTAAGGCAGTACCTTCCACTTTTGGACAATTCTGATCATTAAGTTTGCCCTGATGGCAAACCTAAATTTGTCTTTTTATAACTTCTACCCATTGCTCCTGGTTCTACCTTAAAACCAATCTAATTTCTTCTCCACATCAGCCTTTACAAACCACTAAAATGCTGTTCTTTAAATCTTCTCTTTTCTAAGCTAAACATGCCCAGTTCATCAGATCCTCATATAACATGGACTCAAGGCCTTTGGCCATCCTGGTTGTCCCGCCTCTGAACTTTTCTCAGATTATCAATATCTTAATTAAACTGTGGTACTCACAACAGAACAGAATACTCCAGGTGAGATCAGACATTATATTTAACATTTTTATTTATGACTTGGATAAAGGCACAAATCCTTGTCATGTGAAAGACCTCCTTGCAAGTCTTTTAAGTAGAGATTAGAATTAGATGAACACTTGTCAGGTATATTATAGTAAGAATTACTTTAGGATATGTACTGGACTAAATCACTGACATTCCTTCCACCAGAGACCTTCCCTGTTCATATTGAACTATTAAGAGCTACTCTTGAGTTTGGGCATTTCAGCATATCTGGATCCATTTAATTATATCATCTCTCCATCTTCTCTACAAAAATAGTATGAGATGCTTTATCAAATGCTTTGCTAAAACCTAAGCAAATTAGACCTCCCTCTTACATTCCCCTCATCTACCAGTTTAGTAATTCTCTTAAAAAATGAAGCTGTGTGATATGATAGAGTGCTAGACTTGAAGTCAGGTAGAACTTCAAATCCTTCCTCTTACATTTACTAGCTCTATTTTCCTGGGCAAGTTGTTTTAACCTTCCAATGCCTCAGACAACTCCTTAGAAGTTATTTACTAAATCATAAATGAGATATAATCTGCCTTACAGGAAGTTCCCAAACTGGAAGTTACTAACATAAGACAAATTCACAGATCCTTCACATATTCATATATGACTGTAAGTACATCAACAGAACATTTTCCATGATATATTGCATTAGCATTTCATAACAGGAATTCATTATATTCCATACCTTAATGGTTTCAATCAGTAACAGTGTATAATCAGGAGAGAATATAATATTTCCTACAGGCTCTTGCACATCAAAATAGTCTTTTACTTTGTAATGTATTTCCTTGATAGTAAAAGAATGTACAATACCATCCTTGATATAAAAAATAAGGAAATAAATGCAAGTGTCAGTTTCTGTCATTATAAAACAGACTTTCCTCACTAATTCGGTCAAACCAAGAGCATAGCTGTGCACATACACATAACTGCATCCCTCTCTCCCATTTTAAGCAAATTCGACCTATTTTTTTAATGTATTAGCTCGTCTTACCTCCTTCAGGAAGCCTTTGCCAAATCCTTATCAATCCCCTTCTTCCTTGAAATCCAGTAGTATTTTTTAGTTTGTATGGGACTGCAAATTATGTACAATGCTATTTATGATAAAGTAACGAAATTGATACTCTTTTGTAGCTTTCATGGCTTATGGAAATTAGTCTTATGACTTTATTCTAATATTACCTTTATTGTCTTATATTTCTAATGTTTCATTTGTTCATGTCTAGTCTTCTAAAATTTTTGAGGGAAGAAACTTTTTATTTTCCTTGGCATCTACGACAAAACTGAGCACATAGTTGGTATCTAGTATGTGTGTATGTATATATACACCAATACATTTTGTCTCTTTGTCAGTATGTATACTCCTTGATATTAAGGTCTGTTTTGTCTTTATCTTTGTATCCCCAGCATCTAGCACAGTGCCTGGCACATAATTAAGTGCTTAATAAATGCTTATTGATTAACTGACTGAATAATAGTTACTGACTATAAACAGACATAGGTTAATTTAACTGTCCTTTAGCATATAAAGATAATATTGCTGGCCTGCCTACAGGAAGACTTTGAGGTCTTTTTTCTAGTAGCAAGACTGAATTTGATCTAATATATTTACATTCCCTTGAACAGACCCCTTATATTCCTTTGAAAAGGAATGTTACCCACCTAGCTATGTGGATTTGATAGTGCGTGATTGGAAGACTGAATTATCTGAATCCAAACAGAGCTAAGGATGTTTTATCCTGTCATATTTGGGCCCTAAATCTAATCCCTGCTTTATCCTTTTACAGCAAATTTCTATAATCAGAGCAAGTGGTCAATGATCAATGCAAGTGTGTTGCTGTTTTGACCTGAATGTGTAGTCATTCAATACTCCCAAAACAACTGAAATTAAATCACAAACATTTTCAGTTTGGTTTGGGGAGGAGAATTTGAATGATGATTGAAATGAAAGTCAGCCTCTGGCAAATTCATTTGTATAACTATTGAACAGCAGGGTGGAAAACTTCTACCGGCAAAAGTGTTATTTAAACTTCAGAAAAAGTAACAAGATCTGATAATCCTGCAGGTCAAATGTAAATGATTTTAATGGGGCTCTTACACTTTTACTTCTCCCTATATCTGGGCCCTGAAGTCTTTTCAGTCAGATTTGTGTCTTCCAGACTACCACTCACCTACAGTTGGTAGCAAACAGTGGGTACCAGCCAATGTCCCCCCATTGTCCCCTAGATGCAGCCTGTGCTCGGTTCCAGTTGACCTCTTTGGGACCCCCTTGAGGCAGGGACAGCTCTAAGCCCCTTGCCAGCCAGGAAGCAGTTTCAGAAGCCAAGACCTTCGTCCCTTACCCCAAAAGAATTTGGGTCCCATTTGTTTGAGGTGGGGAATGATGGGGATGGGATCTGAACCCCTAAAAGGAAAAGACCATGTCATTGGGATCTGGACCCCAAAAAGGAAAAACCCTAGACTTTCCACCTGGCCAAATCTCTGGTATTCACCTGAGGCTATAATCCTATCAACTGGTCTTTCATTGCGGCTATCCTCAATCTACCAATTCTGTTCTGTTACCTCCCAATTGCCCCTGGCCACTTTCCACCCTTAATCCTATCTAGACTATATTCTTACTTGGCCACTTGGTCCAGGTTCCTGGTGTTCTGTTTATCTCAGTTTACTGGCCACTACCATCCAGATCTTCCTTAGACCCCTCCTCCAGTCACCCCAAGCTACTTGGCCACTCCTAGATCCCTCCCACAGTCTTTCTGCATATAAGATCCATCTTTTCACCATTAAGGTGCTCAGATTCTTATAATCTGGCTTGCTTACATTAGCAATACAATGCTTAGATTCCTTAAGAGTCTGTCCAATATGACGGATGCTCTAATAAACTTTGTCTTTGGCTAAAAAAAGAAAGAAAGAAAGAAAGAAAGAAAGAAAGAAAGAAAGAAAGAAA